CCTATTTACCTCTATGGCAAGCTTTTGTATCGTAACACCGTGTCCTTTCATTCAAATAATAAATACAAGATAGTCATAGAAAGATTATGAAGATGATTATCTGAATATTATCACTTGATTGATATTGGATCAAACAAACAAGCAAACAGACAAACAAACATACAAACAGATCAAAGATGGATAAACGTGTATATAGAGCTCTAACAAGCTTGTAGTTATATGTCATCCAAAGAGGTACTATGTGTCTGATTGTTATACTTAGAAAGATAGGCTATTCGAATTACAACAAACCTGCAAAACTATACTTGTTTTGAGAAAAGAAAACGTGCCAAATGTAATTGGGTTAATTAATTACCAGGCAACAATGGCAACCTAATTACCCATAGGTATTTTAAAAACCTACATTTCAATTTTGATCTGCACAAATCATTATAAAAACATATTGATATATACATATATATGTATAATATTTCGACTATGATTTCAAATGGGGCATTGTTATTAATTATTTGTCTTCCTCGTAGAGGTCAAAGGGATGGGTATAAACAGAAACAACAAACAAGTTATTACCAGAACCCAACCCTCTCCTCTGTAGTGTTTCTGTCTATCCCATGCCGAATCAGGGATCATCTGGGCGAAGCGTGGGTCCAAATATTAAAGGGGCACTATCATCACGGACGCGGGGGGGGGGGGGGGGGGCGTCGGATGATCCGACAAGGCCGTTTAATATAGGGAGGTTTTGGAATTAGGGGTGCACCGATCACCTTCACATCGCGTTTCCTCCCTCCCCCCTCCCCCCCCCCCCCCATTTTGATGGTCATTTAATAGAGCGATTTACTAACATTCTATGCATACTTTTTGTAAACAAAGATTGTTCTTGACAATCTAAAAAGTTGTCTGAGGCTTGTCCAACAAAGACAGTAACACATATGCACACTGGATTCCAAGTATTGTAGTTCGTTCATTAATGACAGGTATAATGGAACAACACGTCATTAGGTCCACATGAAAGAAAATTCATACATTTAAATATATTAGTATACCGGTCTATTGTGGCGGTAACCCCCCCCCCCCCCGCCCCCACTCTCACCTGCCTCCCGAAGCTACACCAATAGTAGACTTTGCACATACCATTCATATGATTCAAATATTGCGAATGCAATATAAGTGACATGAAATTGACATTGGGTACACATGTTTCAAGGTACCTTTCCCTACGACAATAAAATCGATATTATATTATGTGGAAATCAAACACTTATTTACAGGGACACGCTACGAGGTTTTTATTTGCACACAGGATAATAATTCGCGCTGAAAATACCACGACAAGTCGACAACTATGAAAAATTGGTCACCCATGTCCTTTGCACACAAAACAGAGGTCGGTTATAGCAACGAGAAAGACCGTGGGAGTGCTAGTCTCTCTTTATGACCCCAACCTTAAATTTTAGATTTTTCAACCGGTTCGAAACGTCGAGCCACTCCCGCCACCCATCCTCTCCAATCGGCGCTATGGTTCTCCTTAGAACTATTAGCTAAGCAAGATCACCAACAGTCTTTTCAAGACTCCACCAACGGTCCTTTTCAGGACTACACACCCTCAAGAAAGATTACCGAGAATCCCTTTCAGGACTCCTCAATCCTCCCTCTCTCTCACATGGTGCATCCGCAAGCCTACTGTATATAATATAGTTTGTTATTATCTCCATATACGCAATTGAGTTCGTGTACTTGCGTGAGAATAAACAGTATCAATTTTCATGAATAGTATCGTGATTATGTATATTTCGTTATAGTTCTCCATACAATGTTTGCGTCAAACCTGCCATTAGTTAAATGATAATGACGATTGACACGGTAAACATTAAAAAAAGGTCATTTCCTTGTCCGTATTTGTCCAAATTCTACTCTCAGAAGTCCATTTAAAACAGAACAGAGGAATGTTTGTTTTCCATGTACAAGTGATTTCGTTAATAAAATCATTTTTAAGTAAGACTATGGGAGCAGCCACGGTTGAAATTTGTTAGACCCCCCCCCCCCTTTTTTTTTTTTTACCTCGATCGACATGACTGTGCCCCACCCCCTCCAAACATCAAACTCTGGCTACGTGCCTGTATGGGAGCTGGCGGTTTGACGATTCACCCACGTTCGTCGTGGTTTACTTTTGTACAAATTCGTTTTTGAAATCATATTGTAGTTTTGTATCGTTTTGACTTCTATTTCACAGGTAATATAGGACCACGCAACAAAACGACTCCAGGCAACGTGTTTAACTAAGAATGGATTTGAAACTAAAGAACTGTTAGCTGCATTGCTGTCGTCGCAAGAGTGGTATCACGGATCTAATTGGAATTAAGTCATTTTGGGTCACCGTTCAAATCGTGAGATATTTTGAGAAACAATGGAGTGGACGGAATTCAAAGGCAATGGTATTCTTGTTGATATTGGATTGATTAACTCTAAGGTGTGATTCGAACCCTGGACTTAATATACAAGTGCTTCAGTTGTTCCGCCGATGGCTTGTTATGGTGAGTACCGGTGTAATATCAATATTTCCATTTATTTTGGATACCTTACACTACGTAACTATGCTGCGATTGTTAATACCTGGTAGTGAATATTTATATACCCATACGTCTTATGGTAGGTCGATGAACCTACTTATTAGGCCGCTAAATGATATATGTTTGGAAGTGTCAGCCGATTCTCTCAGCTCAAGTTGGTGTCGGGCGTAGATAACTACATATGTTTAGAACAATTCATTCACTCATCCATCCGTTATCACTCATATTTTGACATTCGTTCGTGTTATCAATCATAAATTCCTTTATTTTTCATCCATTCTAGTAATCAATCATTCATGCCTATCCATCTATTAATGCATTCAATAGTATGACTATTCGTGCCTTCGTGTATAAGTAAGTGTAGCAAATGAGGGAGGGGGGGGTGTCAAACACAAAAACTACATTTTATTTCACATCACCACATATTTTGCATTTCAAACTAACTCTCTGTTGACGAATCTGAGTATTTTCTTTTCATTTTAGACAATGATCTCTGATCCATTGCATTATTGAGTAGTGGCAATACAGATAACTAGGATGGGGGGGGGGGGGGGCGATGTACCAATGCCGAAGTTTATCTGAGAAGAAAGACAATAAATCGATCTACCTTCAAATAAGCGAGAAAAAAATGACGCGCTGGTCCCAATCGTTCCATTAAAGAAGAAGAAAGAGGGGAAAGAGTAGAAGAGAGGAAAGAGAAGAAGAATGGAAAGAGAAGAAGAGGGGAAAGAGAAGAAGGGAAAAGAGAAGAAGAGGGGAAAGAGAAGAAGGGAAAAGAGAAGAAGAGGGGAAAGAGAAGAAGAGGGAAAGAGAAGAAGAATGGAAAGAGAAGAAGGGAAAAGAGAAGAAGAATGGAAAGAGAAGAAGAGGGGAAAGAGAAGAAGAGGGGAAAGAGAAGAAGAATGGAAAGAGAAGAAGGGAAAAGAGAAGAAGAGGGGAAAGAGAAGAAGGGAAAAGAGAAGAAGAGGGGAAAGAGAAGAAGAATGGAAAGAGAAGAAGGGAAAAGAGAAGAAGAGGGGAAAGAGAAGAAGGGAAAAGAGAAGAAGAGGGGAAAGAAAAGAAGAGGGGAAAGAGAAGAAGAGGGGAAAGAGAAGAAGAGGGGAAAGAGAAGAAGAGGGGAAAGAGAAGAAGAGGGAAAAGAGAAGAAGAGGGGAAAGAGAAGAAGGGAAAAGAGAAGAAGAGGGGAAAGAGAAGAAGAATGGAAAGAGAAGAAGGGAAAAGAGAAGAAGAGGGGAAAGAGAAGAAGGGAAAAGAGAAGAAGAGGGGAAAGAGAAGAAGAGGGAAAAGAGAAGAAGAGGGGAAAGAGAAGAAGAATGGAAAGAGAAGAAGGGAAAAGAGAAGAAGAGGGGAAAGAGAAGAAGGGAAAAGAGAAGAAGAGGGGAAAGAGAAGAAGAGGGGAAAGAGAAGAAGAGGGGAAAGAGAAGAAGAGGGGAAAGAGAAGAAGAGGGAAAAGAGAAGAAGAGGGGAAAGAGAAGAAGGGAAAGAGAAGAAGAGGGGAAAGAGAAGAAGAGGGGAAAGAGAAGAAGGGAAAAGAGAAGAAGAGGGGAAAGAGAAGAAGGGAAAAGAGAAGAAGAGGGGAAAGAGAAGAAGAGGGAAAAGAGAAAAAGAGGGGAAAGAGAAGAAGAATGGAAAGAGAAGAAGGGAAAAGAGAAGAAGAGGGGAAAGAGAAGAAGGGAAAAGAGAAGAAGAGGGGAAAGAGAAGAAGAGGGGAAAGAGAAGAAGAATGGAAAGAGAAGAAGGGAAAAGAGAAGAAGAGGGGAAAGAGAAGAAGAGGGGAAAGAGTAGAATAATTAAGGGCAAGAGAAGAGGGTGAGAAAGACAACGAGAGGGGGACGAAGAAAATAAGAGAGGAAGGAGAAGAAGAGGGGAAAGAGAAGAAGAGTGGAAAATGAAGAAGAAGTGAAGGATAAGAAGAGGGGAAAGAGAAGAAGAGGGAGGGGAAAGAATACAAAGATAACGAAAAAGAATAACTAGATAAGAAGAAGAAGAAGAAGGAGAAGAACAAGAAAAAGAGCAAAAAGAGTAGTCACGACAACAACATGACCAAGAAACGGAAGAATTAATTAAGAGTGGTCTATATCTTGTTGCTCATTATACCTATCGTGGATCGTAAAAGGTTTCTTTCTGTCTTACAGTTGTTAGCCCTATCAATAAAACGCTATCATGTTTGTACAAACAAGTTCATACACCCTAACCCACACGCACACCCACACAACACACCCCCGTCACGTACTCTGTCATTTACAATGATACGGATTATCCACTGTACGCTAACATGAGTTAAGACGCTTAAAGATCGATTTACACGAAAGTATTGATCCAACCTTTAGGACAATTTAAGACCCCCGCTCCACGCCTATTCACTCCTCCTTGCACCTCTTTTAAAGAACTCTACAAGTTGGTTTCTATTATGAAGTTCTTGTATGAATGCTCGCATATAAAGAGAAGAAAACAGGCAGCAATCAACGACGCTGGGAGTATACCGCAAATCACATTCAAAACCACCAGACCCTGAATTTCAAACCACCTTGTTAGAATATCGCTGAATTTGTCCTTTTTTTTTTGCAAAATGCTGGCGGCTGTCTGGTAATCATGCTGTTGTTGGTATTGTAGAAGTGTGGAGATTATGTAGCACTCGTTTGGTTTCGCCAAGGATATGCTAGCTGCATGTAGGGTGTAGGTTATATACCTTGAATGGGATCTATAAGAGAACAGGATATACTACATAACTATGCTGCGATTGTTAATACCGGATACTGGAGGTATGTACTCATGAGTCTTGTGTAGATCTATAAAGCTTGGGCCTGATTTATATACCGGTTTACTGACATATTCAAATATATGGATGTTTCTTTCCTGGGGACCTTTAGTGACGAGTTAGTGCATTATCCTGTTATTCATGAATGAACTACAATACTCGGAGTCCAGTCTGCATGCATTACTTGTTGTTACGTCGGGCAAGCCTCGGAAAGTTTTAGGGTTGTCCTAAACAAGCTTTGTTTAAAAATTAGGCACAACATATGAATATGTTAGTAAAACCGGTTTATTATGTCAGTTCACGTTGGTGTCGGGCCTAGAAAAATACATATATTTTAAATTATTTATTTATTAATTCACTATTATGTTGTTATTTATTATACATTGCCATTCGTTCGTATAATCAATCATGAATTACTTTATTTAGTTATCATTTCATTTACTTCATCAATCAATCATGCAAGCGATCATATATTTATTCATTTAATCGTATAACTATTCGTGCATGGATTTAGGCTAGAGTTCCATAATGTACCCCTCACTAAAATGAAGACAAATTGAAGAAGAGTTAGGGTTAGAGTTAGGGTAAGACGAAGGGGGTAACTTGGGAACTTATGTTATTAGGAGACTAACAAACCCGTAACAGTGCATATACTACATTGTGTACGTTAACTCAATACAGAAGTTTAGAAGATAAGAAAAAGTCAAGGTTATGTATTTATAATCTTATGTCGATCACCGCACTCGTATAATTAATCAAATTTAACTAGCCCAATTTGATCAAAGTAGGTTTGTTGATATGATTGCTTTAATTTGTGGAATTAGATTGTTGAATTGAATTAAATGGTAAACATTAAACTCATATACTAACCTCAACCCTCGAAACTTGGACAAGGAAATCCACTAGCTTGATTATGCATGTAATGTTTAATGTTTAGTGTATGTGTCATTGAATTAACGAATCGAACAGAGAATAGGCTTATTAAACACCTTGCATCCATTAAACGTAGGAAACGCAATACAAGTCAGTCATGCTCACTGCCAGAAACGGTATTCGTTATGATCTAAAACAAAATATATTAACCTTATGTCATCCTAATTTATGTTTTAGGGAAAGAAGCCAACTTTCTACTTGAGGGGCTATATTCGTAGTGTTAAATAGTTGCAGTCAAAATGTTGGATGGGACTATTAGACATTTCGTTTTCTACTTCCACTGAAGATTTCTATATCAATTTTTCACATTACCCTATGGTATACATGTATACATGTTTTATATGTATAGGCCTATATATATATATATATCCGATGATAAGTCCTCGTGTTGGCATAAGATGACGCAAATAATGATGGAGAAAAGAAGATTATGTCTTTTTGAAAATCCGGAGTTTATGTGTTGGATTTTAAACATAAATCTTCTCTATCATCATTTGCGTGTTTTATATTCATAAGTATAAATGTAAGGAAATAATCTATACAACAGCTTTGGCATCTCTCATTCCTCGTGCGAAAGGAAGCTAGAGAATAATGGTGGCATAGCTTTAATCAAGCCCCCCCCCCCCCCCATTGCTGTGCTCCCGTTTTGGAAACTTTTTACAAAGGTTGAACAAAATGTATCGAAACCAGGTCACTGCCTTAGGACGCCACTTTCTTAACGACAATACACACAGAAATATATATATATATATATACATATATTACATCGTTTACGTATGTAGTTGCCATGACTCTTCTTAACCATAAAATCAGAAACTGATGCAATTGACCACCCATGACCATGGTAACACGAACGTATATTATGTGGATGTAGAATCCAGCGAGGAATACCTGTTTTATACATCACGATATACGTTTAGTTAGTAAATCTATTGTTTATACACACACCCCAACATATTTACACACATTTCAGAATAAGATTTTTTTAAATCGTGACCCTAAAATGCATTCCTTTATTTTGCTTTTTGGTCCAATGGAGTCAAATGCAAATAACTGATCCACATCCTACCTGGAAAATATATGATGTATTTTCTTTTGAAATGATGGAATCGTAAATGAATTGCTTGACAACTTGATGATTTTAGGGTAAGGTATTTTCTACAACATAATTTGTCATAAATAACGCGGATCGAAAACAACAAGCATAGTTCAGTTCCCCTGTTAATTGAATTTCTGGTGGAAGAGCAGGGAATTAGGATTGTAAGCTTGTTAACAAAAATCATCGGGGAGAGTGCAAATAATGATATCTACGGTAACGTTTTATCCAATGTTATCCTAAACTTCCCATTTCATGGCACCATTATTCATACATCACTGTTCATACATCATTTGCCATACATCATTTTTCTCTCTTGCTTGTAAAAAAAAAGTGCAAAGATCTTCGAAAAACCAACGCCAATATCAGTACCTTTGTCCACTATCTATTCTTATGTGTAAACATTCCAATAACATATTCAGTCAAATCTGAACGTGGTTTCTATGGGATGTACAATACACCTGTAGGGTATTGAAATGACCCTTGACCCTTGAGTTGATTTTTCGAAAGTCTCTGCGATATTTTCCTTTATTTTGGGGGTAAACTTTGCATCAACCATTACTCTTAATCCTATTTCTTGCATATTTTAGTTTATACACTGTGAAAAGGTTGGGCCATATTTTCCAACACTTTGCCAATATTCAACCCAATTCCATCTATTGGGCAATATTTTCGTATTTTGCCCCACAGTTGGTCAAGGTTTTCCCAACAAGTGGGCTACCGTAGTCGGGCAGTTGAAGGGTCATATCTTTGCCCAAATTTTGGTCAAAATACGAAACAAATATGCATGTGTGAAGTAGGGTACTTACGTTTACTAATACCACTGGGCCTAATAGATGGTTGGGTTGACTATTGGCACAACGTTGGGCAAAATGCTCAAAAAATATTGCCCAACCTTTTCACAGGGTAGAAACCCAATAAAATCATCACTAACTTATATCATTAAATACAAACTTATCTTTTCCTTCTCCGTCAGTCCTTCAGCTGTAACCCATTCATCGCTTTCATCATAGCCGTCGTCATCGTCAGTTTCATTGTCGCCTTTACCGGGTTGATCATCCTCTCATGATCCCCCTTCCCTTCATCTACAATCCCCCCATCCTCATCATCATCTACATCATCTTCGTCTTCATTCCATGGCCATTTATCTTAGATATCATTGACGTTCTCATCTCCACCTTCGTCATCATTGTTACCATCATCAATATCATGTCAGGTACATCAATATATGTGGGCCATGCTCTATACTCTTGCAATACGATATTATACAAATAATGCATGCTTCGACGTTCAATATAACAAAATATAATGTTATAATATATTTATAATGTTTTAATGTTTTATAATGTTTGAGGAATTGTAATATTTATGACAGTTTATCATTTCTTTTTTGAAAATAACAATTTATATATATACGTATTTGCTTATTTATGATTCCTTGTCAGAAAACAATTATTGTACTTTATATTATTATTGTTATCGAAAAAGTGTATACTTACATGAATGCAGAAGAAAATCAAATCAAATATATTATTAGCCAGCACATTGAGAATTTACCGAGTGAGGTTATATTCAACGAGGCCCCAGGCCGAGTTTAGAATACATTGGCACGTTGGAAATTTCTGAGTTTGTAGGTGAATATAATTGAACAACGATGATCAAAGGTAATTTAATATGAAGATTGTTTAGTATTTGTGGGCATTTCTGCTAATGATGTATTAATGGGATGGGGCATTCGTGAATGACCGACAATACCTTTCAGAACATGTTTGGTTGCATGATTAGATTTTGTAGGTCTTGACCATCAAATCGACAATAACAGATTAGTTCTGAACATTGCTTGGTCCCAAGTATCTTAAATTTAATTCAAAGCAATTCGATTCCCTTTTAGGTTTGAGGACGTCATCCGAAAATCCGCTGCCTTTGGCGGAGATGGGCAGCGCCACCAACGGTCCGAGCCCAGAGGCAATTCAGCAGCTTTTCGATGCTTGCGACCTGGATGGTAATGGATACATTGAATGGGAAGAGTTGGAGGTGGTCTGCGAAAATTTGGACAGGGATGAACTCGAACACATATTTGAGGTTAGAATTTTGTTTAAAACGGGATTTGCCTGACAAACACATTTGTGTCCCTAAAGTCCCTTTTCTTTTCTTATATTTTATAATTCAAGGCCCCGTCTTACAAAGAGTTGATATCAATCGCAACTTATTTGCAATTGATAGCAATCGCAACTATGTTCATAAGAGATAGGAGATTGCTAACTTGCGATTGATTGGAGGATTTTCGATTGATTTGTAAGACGGTGCCCAGATTTACTCTGCCGCCCATAAATTTGGAAGACTTTTCTTTAACCTCTTTTCATGAAATTATTGTTACAAGTATGACTTCTTCTTGATAGAAACAGCTTATAACTATCTTATCAGAACTTGATAAATCAATCTCTGTGAATCTTTGAATAGATCAATACAATTCTGAGAAGATTCTAAGCTTCATCTATCAAGAATTTATCATATCGTCACAATCAGCTTATGAAATGAGGTAAGAATACAATTACTATTCCAACTTTATGGATAACAGTTTACCCGACTGACAGAATTTATTTCATGATCTCGTTATTCTTAAACCTGGAGTGTAAAATCCTCACTCTTCTTCTATTTCAATCTTTATCTCGTATGTCCTTTCCCTTTTCCTGCCTCTTCTCATTTCATTGTAGATTTTTATTGCAATAAATAAAGAACTGTGCGTATTACTGTGTTTTATCGAACAAATGTTCAATGTATTGTATTTTAATGTAATTTTTCTATCCTTTATAAAATCAATTAGTTTTAGCCTTTGGCTTCTATTTGAAATATTATGTTCTTTTTAAGATAAATTAACCAGTTCCTATCAAATCGAATTCAAATTCAAACATACAAGCGTATTTTTAAGAATTCGATAAATTCAGGAAAACACAATGCACAGGTGAAATTACGCGGTTATAATTGATAATTAATTATCCTTTTGTTTCATTTAGGCATTAGATGGAGATGGCGACGGACGGATCAGTATAACAGATTTCACTGAAGGCTTTCACAGCGTCAGCGAGGCACTCCTTTCAGTCAGCCGTCGTAGGAGGCGTCAGCAGTATTTGGAGGATTGTGACAGTGAAGAGTTCGAGGTGTTTTTGCAGCAATTGGGACCTGACCTTGACCTTGTATCGTGGTGAGTCAGACTTGTTCTATTTAAAGCCCCTCTGCACTACGTATAGCTACTTGCGCCCTCTATATAGCGAACAATACCTAATTGGTGACCATTGGTCCCCCATGGTCCCCGTTTTCTTATGTTAATTGAGAGCTGTTTTGATGAGATAACCACCTGTCAGTGACCATGCAGGGAGGTCTAATCCCTCCTGGCTGAAGTAGTGCAGAGGGGCTTTGAACATTTACAGGGCTTTTTGTGGACGATAGAATTTTATATGGAAAGCGTAAATATATTCATTTGAATGTGAACAACGGGTTCTTCAATAAATCTTAACATATGATAAAAACTATCCAAAAACAAAAGCAACAAACAGTTAAAAGATATGTATATATACACATAAGAATAGACAGAAGAGAGGAAACGATATCTAAAAGGAAAAAAATAGATAGAGATAGCGGAGAAAGAGAGAGAGGGGGGTGGTGTGGGGTAAGATATCTTGTGGAAAGTGGAGAGGGGCATTCATTTCCATAGAATTTATATGTTGTTTGATATGTGGGAGATGGGTGCAAAAGAATGCAAAAGTGGATGAGAGAAAGAGTAATGGGAGAGACAGAGAGAGAGAGAGACAGAGAGAGAGAGAAACAGAGAGAGAGAGAGAGAGAGAGAGTGGGGAGAGAGAAGGAGGGAATTGAGGAGAAATGTCGACTGCATAAAGTGATGGGACTAGTTCGATTTGATAAAATCTAGACAAATTGGCCTCAATAATAAATAAAGTTTTTACAGTGATTTGCTTTAATAGGTTTTTACCAGCATTATTCTAACAATGTGGGTTATTAATGCAATACATTAATATTGAATTTAAAGCCAAAGCAAAAGAGAGTTAAAATCCAGAGAAAATATCGAAGGCATAGAGCAATGGTACTAGTTCGATTATATACAAACTATAAAAATTGGCTGATTATAATATCATGAAATATCCAAAGTCTGGATAATATAGATGTCAGTGATATTTCAATCTGTTGTGCTATAACGGGCTTTACCAGCATTATTCTAACAATGAAGCTTATGAATATGGATGACTTTAATATTCAATCTAAAGCCAATCGAGTGTGAGCCAGAGAAGGTCGTGATAAACAGCTCTACACTTATTATGCATTACAAAATGCTTTAAAATATTGGTTAAAATCGTATATTGGCAGATTCAAGCTAAATTGTCCCTTATGTTACCACACGCAATATGGGTAATTCCATAAATAAGGGACCCACTTTGTTACATTTTCGATGTTCTTCTTACATAAGGATCCCACACGTATTTATGGCTCTGAGTAAAGACTAAAATAGTGGAGTGAGATTGTAAAGTGTTTTCTGAGCATAACATCATACCTAGAATCACTTAACAATCATACTCCACTATTTAAATCCTTACTCAGAGCCACAGGGACACCAAAAATGTCACAAAGTGGGTCAATAATAATGGAATTACCCGTATCCAATCAGTAGATGAGGTTCATCAGAGTACTACAGCTCGAATTAGACCAAACCTATCCACCTTTATATCCACCAGATATGCCATAGCTTGGAGGCCTTTAGGGCGATATTATAATAGACCTTAAGACACAGGTTCTCCATAACTTCCTGTCTTCAGCTGTTCTTTATAGCTGCTCAAATTACATTCCCGTCCACTGCTTCTTGTTATCAATCCATGTCCTAATTGGTCTGCCCTCATTTCTTCTGCCATCATCAGTTCCTGCTTGCAAGATGGTGTTTTCCAAGCTATTCTTCCATCTAGTTACATGCCAAAACCGCTGTACACGTAGCTGTCTTCTTTTCACAATTGTGATATTGTGGTCAAACACCAAAAACAAAGACCAAATACATTGTATTAAATTACATTTAATGTCAATATCTGCTTTGAGCTCCGCATATGACGTTTTACTTTGAACTGACCATTTCGTATTATTACAAGAAAAACAAAAACAATAAAATTACATACAGACACCATATTTTATTTCAGATGTAATACAGCAAGATTCAATTGGAATACTCGTATTCAGATTCAGATTTTATTGTCCACGTTAAAAAAACACAGAAATTTGGTCTCCACTGGCAGGAAATAACAATGAATAACATAAGAATACATAAATGTGCACAAGGCAAGTACATCAATTATTTTTTACAAACAGTTGAATACATTCTGACAAAAGTAAGAGGAGATATCAGAGTAAGATGAGAAAAGGAATGAAGCAGACATAACAACTCTTACTTCTTTTTTTCAAATAGAAGAAACATTTTTCAATCATTCATACAATGATACAATTATTTCATTTTGAGGGCTATTACTCGACCACAGCGCTATTTATCAACAGTATATTACATAGTAACATAATAATATCAGAAGGTAATTGGCTTTCGCACATCATCCCAACTTGTTTAATATAACGTTATTCGAATAAAATGTACTGAATTACTTCAATATAATTCAAACACTACGACAGATGTGCAGATTTTAGACATTTTAGACAAGAATAATCGGAACAAATATATTTTTCACATACTTATAAAATTGCACGAACTTCTCATTACCAGGTAGAATCATCTCAGAGAGTTTATGATTAGAGTAATTCATAACTGACATATAAATATGCGATTCCATGACACCCACTTTATCCATCTATATCAGTACTGCGCAGCTGACGTGTTGACGTGTTGACGTATTTTTTCTGAGACACCTTATACATATGAAGAGTTTAATTCCAAAAGGAGCTAAATCCATTTTGTAACTTAAGAAAACGAAGAAAAAAATGTTTACCAGATTGTACAGGCATCTATGGAAAGTGATATTAGAAAGTCCATTTGTTCATAATTACTCTCAAAATGTAGGTAAAGAATTTTGTTGAAAGACAGGTATTTAAGTGAACAATGTTCTGATATCAATAACTCAATTTTCACCAGGAGTGGATTTAGCTCCTTTTGGAATTAAGCTCTTCATATATGCGAACACCTGTTGCTTCTTCTAGCGTTTGTATATATTTTGTGCTCTGTTTACCTTCCTATAGGTTTACACGTAGAGATGTACTTACTACGCATAGTGTGGTTTGTGTGTGGTTTGAGTAATACAGCAAATATCACATGATCACGCCAGGCCTTCAAGATTTTTAGCATCTGATACGAATAATAATATCGGCTTATCCCTCCTGATATGTTTTCGCCCAAAGTAGCATCAAACTATCTTTTTTCATGAAGTCCGTCTTTTGTTTTGTTAATATCTAAACCCATTCTATTTTTTCTCGTAAATTCTCGAAGTGGGTTAGTCTGATTTACTTTTCTCTCCTTTCTTGTGAATAGAAATAAAAGATATAATTTTATATTCTTTGTCAAATTGATGAATGATCAAATTGTTAACAAAACCATTTACTGCTCTATTATCTAAAAGCTAAGGACTGGATAAAAGCTATACCATATTTTTCTGAGGTCCAAATAGTTTGTGTTGTTTCGTTCCTTTTCATCTATATCCATTGATATCAGTGATATACTCATTGTTATGGTAGAGATGAATCTTCAAGTTTCAAAATGGGATCTTCTTCGTGTTTTTATTTTTTTACAAAGAGGAAAATGGAATCATCCAATGAGGATTTTGGTTTCCATGGTATTTGACATTAATGTCTCCTATGTCCAGACAACTAGATGCTATATTATTATATTTCATATAGCTTCGCATAACTATAATATCATAACATTATACAGATAAATGTATAATATCTATCATGACATGGCTTGCGTGTATGCGCACGAGGCATGCGCGCCAAATCTGCGTCAGTTGCTTGAAAGCCCGGCTGTTCAAAGAAAAACCAATACCCCAAGGTATAATATTTATAACACACGTCATATATTTACGTCGATATAGGTTGAAGTTTGGTTTAGGGTTCAACCCGGCTAGAACAAACTCGCCTTGCCTGGTATATACACGACCGCCAATCATCAAATAGATCGGAAAGGCATATATCGACGTCAAAGAACTCTAGCTAGCCAATTTAACAAGAATATCTACAGATCATCAATTGAAGAACGGCCACATTTTAGCATTTTTAAGTTGACAACACGGATTACGTTTCATGCCGCAACAGGTCTTTTAATTAACAACGGATTTTAGTCCACGCGTTATAAATCCTAACCGACCTCAATTGCGACATCTCGCAACAGATGTGGCATATTTACCACCACTAGGTCGAAAGATAAAGGCGACATTTGCCACTTTGCGTTGGAATAAGCATGGGCGTCTTAGATGGGAGCGAAAACGGTAGTCGATCGTCTTGTTTATGATTTCGTTTGGAAGAAAGGAAACCTTCGAAACTCTTCTGAGTTTGGATTTTAATTTGGAAATACATTGAGGGATGTTTGCTGGCAAGAAAGGATCTCTTCAGTGATTTTCTTGCTTTGAAGCTGCGTCTATTTTCATTGTGATATGATTATGTCGAATCCATTTCTCCAGGCGACAAGTTTGTGCCAAGCAATTATTGTTCAAGGTATTGTATGCGTGGATAACCCGTGAAGTTCTCAAACATCACACAGCCTTTAAACGATTCCCGTCATCGTTTTTTTTTTAACTTCACATGAACAGAAAAGTTTTAAACTAAAGTGAGAGAGAGGGAAATATCTACACGACTATTTTAAGATCCTGAGACATTTGAAATTATCTCCTGTTTTATCATAATTTGTTTCCGAATTCTGATAACTGGACATTTACCAAGATGGGCTCGTACGGATAAATTAACGACATTCTGCATTTAAGTAAATAATTGAATGGATTGTTTTAGTACGTAACCCTGTACGAAACCATGGACGATTCACGAATCCGCCACCTCTTCGAAGTCTGCGACCTCAACGGTAGCGGATACATCGAGTACGACGATCTCCGTGATATATGTTTAGGGAGCGATCTCGAGATCACGGACGCGGAGCTCGGCAGCGTCTTCGACGAACTCGACACCGACCGCGATGGGAAGATAAGCGCTGAGGAGTTC